TATGGGATGAAGAGAAGATGGGTACATACTAGGGCTGTCGATTAATCGCAGCTAACTCACGCAATTATCTCAAAAAAATTAATCATGATTAATCACACAGTTAAACAGTAGAATACACATTGAAATTTATTAAATATTTTGGATGTTTTGAAAATGTAGAAAACATATTGATTTCTATTACAACACAGAACACAAAGTGTACAGTGCTCACTTTATATTATTTTTATTACAAATATTTGCACTGTAAAAATGAAAAAAGAAATAGTATTTTTCAATTCACCTCATACAAGTACCATAGTGCAATCTTTTTATCGTGAAAGTGTAACTTACAAATGTAGATTTTTTTTGTGATATAACTGCACTCAAAAACAAAACAATGTAAAACTTTAGAGCCTGCAAGTCTGCTCAGTCCTACTTCTTGTTCAGCCAATCGCTAAGACAAACAAATTTGTTTACATTTACGGGAGATCTGCTGCCTCATAAGAACATAAGAATGGCCGGACTGGGTCAGACCAAAGGTCCATCTGGCCCAGTATCCTGTCTACCGACAGTGGCCAATGCCAGGTGCCCCAGAGGGAGTGAACCTAACAGGTAATGATCAAGTGATCTCTCTCCTGCCATCCATCTCCACCCTGACAAACAGAGTCTAGGGACACCATTCCTTACTCATCGTGGCTAATAGCCATTAATGGACTTAACCTCCATGAATTTATCCAGTTTTCTTTTAAATGCTGTTATAGTCCTAGCCTTCACAACCTCCTCAGGTAAGGAGTTCCACAAGTTGACTGTGCGCTGTGTGAAGAAGAACTTCCTTTTATTTGTTTTAAACCTGCTGCCTATTAATTTCATTTGGTGACCCCTAGTTCTTCTATTATGGGAATAAGTAAATAACTTTTCCTTATCTACTTTCTCCATATCACTCATAATTTTATATACATCTATCACATCCCCCCCAGGCTCCTCTTTTCCAAGCTGAAAAGTCCTAGCCTCTTTAATCTCTCCTCATATGGGACCCTCTCCAAACCCCTAAGCATTTTAGTTGCCCTTCTCTGAACCTTTTCTAGTGCCGGTATATCTTTTTTGAGATGAGGAGACCACATCTGTATGCAGTATTCAAGATGTGGGCGTACCATCGATTTATATAAGGGCAATAATATATTCTCAGTCTTATTCTCTATCCCCTTTCTGATGTGTCAGATTCTTTATGTGAAAGTTTCCCGTCTGATCTGGCCCTTACATTATCCTCTTCCATCCTCTGTTCCTGACTATAACCTAGAGAATCTCTATCAATAGGCTCTCCTCTAAGAGAAGTCTCTGTCCGATCCACATGCTCCTCTGCAGCAGTCGGCTTTCCCCCATCTCCTAGTTTAAAAACTGCTCTACAATCTTTTTAATATTTAGTGCCAGCAGTCTGGTTCCGCTTTGGTTTAGGTGGAGCCAATCTCTCCTGTATAGGCTCCCCCCATCGCAAAAGTTTCCCCAATTCCTAATGAATCTAAACCCCCTCCTCTCTACACCATTGTCTCATCCACGCATTGAGACTCTGAAGCTCTGCCTGCCTACCTGTCCCTGCGCGTGGAACTGGGAGCATTTCTGAGAATGCCTCCTTTTTATTAACAATGTCACCTGAAAGTGAGAAAAGGCATTCGCGTGGCACTTTTGTAGCTGGCATTGCAACGTATTTATGTGCCAGATATAGTAAACATTTGTATGCCCCTTCATGCTTCGGCGATTTTTTTAATCCTGCGATTAATCGTTATTTTTTTTCTTATCGCAATTAAAAAAATTAATCACGTGACAGCCCTAGTATGTACCCTGTGGTATTCTCTACAAGACTTAAAGAAAGGTCCTAAATTTACTCTTTTGCTTACTGTCTAACAGCAGTGATAAAAAAGTGTATCAATATCCATTAGCCTGTCTACTTTTGTTGTATCTAAAATGTATCCGGATTTCTATGCCTAGACAAATACATAATTAGCCAAATGGCTTCTTCATTTGAACTGAACGTTATTTTCCAGATTTCCAATGGAACATTTAAATTGTCTTGAAAAAATGATGGAATAAGTGTCAGCTGAGTATTTGTTTCTTTTGTATGGGGTTTAGGAAAACCAATCCCTGAATCAGATCCAACCTTGCTCATTTTAGAAAAAACAAGGTGAATTCTTGTTAAATTCTCTTTGTCTGGGACCACCACACATCGGAGTTCATTCAAACAGTATAACTGAATTTTGTCAAACTGGGACCGCTGAGGTAAAGTGTACAAAAAACTAGGAATAGGGTAGAAAACCCTATCTTCCTTCATGAGTCCTATATGAGTAGTTGTAAGAACCAGTGATCTGTAGGTCATTTGTTTAAAATGGTCTTCTATCTTCACGGTGGTATAGAGCAATACATGAACATCTCCTAAAGGGGGTTTATTAGTTTCCATGTTTTCATGAACTAAGTACACCAAGTCAGCTAAGGCACTCTGGAATTTGCAGAACAACCGTACTCCACTTGCAAAAACTAAGTCAGTGACTTCTGATGTCCAGTGAAGTGACAGCTGCAACAAATCACCTTTCAGCAGCTGGTGATTTAAACAAGCATCATAATCTGATGTCGTAATCAAAATACTCAGTATATCATGGCATATTCTCTGCGTGAAGCCTTTGTTATAGGTAAATATTGTCAGTAAACTATCTTCAGTACAGCATACAAGTCTAACACTCTGTCCAGCAAAACCAACTTCAATTTCTCTTATCATGGTGATTGGAAGAACATGAAAAATTGCCAAGGAATCCTGACAGTTGTCTTCTTGGTTGACTGATAAAACAACAGCATACAAAACGGAGCTGAACAAAAGCAAACAAGCCGGCTCTGGATCAGGTTTCTTGCAATTGCCAACAGCAAGCCAATATACACCTTTTAATTGATCCATACTGGCACAAACTTGTGGTAAGGCACAGATCACATACTCCAATAGTCTTTCAAGAGAACAGACTTGAAGTTTCAGTAACTCATCTGGAAAATGCACAAGGTTTTGCCTTAACACTAAACTCGTTTTCATTTCTTCATTTCCATACCAGTACATAGATCCTTCAGAAGAATCTCGTGCATGCATGCTTGAGATTTTTGAGGATACACACTTAACCTCCTGCCAACAGAGAATATTGTGTTCTGACTGAATGCTGCTATCAATATGCGCGTTGTCCTCATTAATGGAGTGAGGCGTAGCCTTCTTCATATCCGATTTGAAAGGCACATTTACATGTAATATTTTTACAAATGGCAATTTTTTCAGCAACGATGCCACTTGTGCACATCTCTCACTTCTATCACACAGACTGCCCAGCTCCTTTATTTGTTTAATAATTTGAGCACTATTGAGCAAACTACTACTAGTGTCTTTGTAAAGACAAGAGAGCTTGCTGAAAAGATAGCCCAAGCCATAGCTCTGTTCTGTTCTCACATCTGAACATGACGCTTCTGATTCTGGGGAGATTATTTTGCTAATATCCAGGTCTTCTTCAACTGGCTGCTGAGAAATAGGAGATTGGTCTGGAATAGTGCAATACACTGTGTTACGTGGATTGTTCTCTTTGGGTGCTATTTCAGAAAGTATACCGGACTGAGGGAGAATTAAGCAAGATGTGCTGCTAAAGCTAACCTGCTCATTCCCACAGGCTAAAGGTTCTGAGCTAGAGAGATGTTGTGAATGGAAACAATCAAATTCAGTCGTTGTGGTGTCCCCATCCTGAGAAGTAATTTTTGCATATTCAGAATTATTGAGATTCACCATTTTATATTGCGAATGCTCCACATTGCCCATATCATGATTATGTGGCGAAGTGAATGTAACATTTTTATAATGAATTTTCTCCCCATTAAAAATGTTAGTATTTTTAGGGTGATTCAGTTCACATTCAGTATCATATAGGCAATCAAAGCAATGCAGTGCCGACTGGTTCTTTTCATTCCCAACTCCCTTTTGTAATGGAGAGAGGTAACAGATTTGTTCAGGAATAGAAAATAAGCTCCACATCTCTGGACATTTGGTGTGTCTTTTGAGGTCTGCTATGGTTGTATCTTCTCCAGCCAAGTTAGAGCCAATATCATCAACTTTAAAGTCATAAGGGAGGCTGTAATGTGGCTGCCAAGGTCGTCTTTTCTGTTTAAAAAGTCAAAATAGGGAAATGGAAGCACCTTCTGCTTTGAAAATGTCTTGAATTCAGGTTTAATTTTAATTAGGTTTGTGCATTCATTTACAAGTAATCAAAAACTGAAACCAAATCCAAGTAGACTGATTGAGGTCTGATTCAGGAACAATCTTTATGGCTTTACCCCACACCCATCATTTGTGTGTGTGTGTGTGTGTACAGTATCCATTTCACTTTGTCTAGTTCTGCATTTGGTTTCCTCAAAAGAATCAGAATGTTCATAGGATAACTAATTTTCTATATGCTTTTAAAAAAATTCGAGATCTTAACCAGGATAAGAAAAATGAGGAAAGAACTAGGGGAAAAATGTGATATTGCCAAATAAAACATTATAGTCCTACAATACTTTGTGGTAAAATACTTTCAGATTGTCTAACATTAAACCTTCAGGACATGTTCACAAATATTTGCACTGTAGTACTGCTAGTATTCTGAAGGCTCTTACAGTAGTGAGACAATTGGGAACCAGACATGTTAAAGCATACTTTGATTAGAAATAATTTTGTTCCTGATCATAAATTGTTTTTGTCCTATAGATCTAGGAAAGGGATACTGTTCAAAATAAAGAATTATGAAAAAAAATCCTTCACCACAAAAATATGCTATTTAAATAAAGCAAGAACTGTACCCAACATGCAAGATTCCATTTATTTTTTTGCCTGAAAAATAGCTTGACTTCTCTATTAGCTATTAACCTTACTGTAAATTTGAAATTCTAATTATGCAGCTAAACATTAAGAAATTTAATTACTGAGCATGCCATAATTTAAGACAACTATTTCATTCTGACGAATTATAACCTACCTCATACTTCAACTTGCGCTGAACAGTACCATTATGAAGCATTTCACTAGCCTAAGAACCAAAAAGGTACAGGTGATTAAAAAAAGTTTCCTTGTTATAAAAGTTGAACTATTTATAGCAATACAGACCTAAAGTAATCAACTTAACTGTCAAAAATATGCATCATCTTCTACTGGTGTTTGCTAAGATACTGCCTTACAGCTGAAATAAACTATTCCGTTTTCCAATTAGGAAAAAGGGAATTTTAACAAGAATGGCTTGTTCATTTTTAAGCATGTATTATTAAAAATATTCAGTATTCATTTTGATGGAACTTTATGTTGTCATCAACAGAAGCATAATAAAAGGCAGAGGGAGTAAAAAACTCTTCATATTAATTTGGAAAAGTT